AAATAAATGTTTTTAAAATTGCTTAAAAATTTACCTGTTGATGATTTTTCTTTTCTATACTTGATGTTGAAAAGTGCTGCAATACCATTCCTTTTGTTTTAGATATCGCATAAATTGAGGCACATGCTGAGCAAGTACATGCATATATGGAGTAATATCTGTACACAGATACATACCTTCTTGTTGAATAATACTATTTAAATTACCAATCGTAAGACGACAAAAATCACGAATTCATTGCTTTGCATCAATTTCGAATTGGTCAATTTCTTCATTTATTATAAATTTTTAACGCATTGTTTTATAAAGACGATAAAATTCACGCCATAGATGCTCAATATTTTGTCCTCTTATAGCTTGTTGTCCTTCAAAAAGATGTTTAACCTGAAAATCTTTTAATATCTTTTTCTTATTGGGACCCATAAGTGATGTCTATTCCCATTTTCCATTTTTTGTAATAGGAGGGTAAAATTCAAAATGAATATGCAATCTTTTCATTTCTGCAAGTATTAATGTTTGTGTATTATTTGCAAAATCTTTTTGTTTGACAAGCTCATAAAATAAACATTGAAAAAGTACATCTGAAATTCGCAACATAAGATGTAATTCATCTGTAATCCAATTACTTTGATCTATTTCTTGAAAAAGCATCATATTTTTATATCCTATAATAAATTTAATTATTAATTTACTATATTAAATAAAATTTATATTATAATTAAATACATACCACACATATTTTTTGAGTTTAACCATACTTTATCCATATTATATCTTTCATCTTTATGACAATTACAATAGAGGCAAAAGTAATTAGATGTTGCAGCATTGATTCCCATAACTAATGCTACAAATTTCCAATCACCCAAAAAAAATAATTCAACTGGCCAAATTGTATTATTTGAATCTTTATATCTATTAGTTTTTAATTTTTCAAGTTCGTGTGAAAATTTGATTGATACAATAGATAAAAAATCATAAGATTCTTTCCCTATATATAAACAAATACTTTGTATAACAAATATTAATGTATGTTAATAAATTATGTTCTGTAATACTTGTATAGTAATACATGATAAAATTAAAAAATTAATAATATATGATACCTATATTGATGAGCGGGATTCAAAACAGCTTCTTCTTCATTAAGAATACACATAATAAGCATCACATGCTTTTGCTTTCTTCCTACATTTCTTCCATCTCCACTTAATTTTATATTAATTTTATTACCAACTTTTAAAACAGGAGATGTTAAAGTTGTTAATAGGAACTATAATATCTAATATAGATATAATAGACCGATAAGCATCACTGCCTACATCACCATCATTAAGTTCTATTTTACTACTCATATCTTATTGATTCTCATCATCATCATCAAAATTAACATTATAAATATTAAATAATTTGATTGGAATAAGGGCATTCATTATATTTGTAATTTCATTTCGGCGTTTTTCAATTATATATTCTCTTATTAAATTTGGAATTGCTTTGGCTAGCCTGCGATAACTATCACGTGAAATTAATGTTTCATCACAGGCACGGATGATTGAATCTAAATGTTGTGTAAAATCAGTTATATTATTAGAATAAAAATGTAATTCTACAATTTCCCCATTAATTTTAAGAACTATAGCTTCAATTGTTACTATAATTTCTTCAGATGGTGAGGTAAATTTATTATTTTTGAGAATTGTTAAAGTTTGTGCTGCAATTTCCTTTCTAACCATAGTAATACGTTTATTTTTTTGTGATTGTGATTTAAATTCAGTAAAACATCATTTGCGATTAATAGATATAGTAAATTGTTGTGTAATATTTTCACGTATTTGTTGTAAAAAATTTATATTTAGACTAAAAAGTATTGTATCAGCAACTCGTGAATTGGGCTTATTACATATTTCCTATTATAAAGATTATTAATTATAATAAATATTGTATACAATTTAATTTATAAACTTACTTTTAAAAATAAAGAATCTGCTACCTCAGCTGATGACAAGCTATATCTTGACTTTATTTGATCATTTTCATCTGTCCATTCAATAATATATTTAATTGCAATTTTACGCGAAAATTGATATTGTGTTTTATATAAAACTGTTAGTCCACTTAATGTTGTTTCTACTTGATAATTATTCAGAACTTTATAATTTATTCCCTTTTCTTTTCTAGTGTAAATTACTTTTGTAGGATATTGTCCAAGAGATATAATTTTATATGATTGGGAATAATTTTTACCACCAAACTTTCTAATAGCATGAATATATGGATTGGAAGGATAATTATAATAAAAAGTATGTTGTGTATTTTCATCATTAACTAGAATAAGCTCTTCGTTTAAAATTTCGTGAAAGTAATCACAAGTTATTAGAGTTTGAAACTGTAATAGATTATTTGGAACTTTACTCTCACTTAATGGATTTTGAAACATAATAAACTGTATCAAAGTTTATTTTTATTAGAATATTATATAAATAGCTTTAAACAAGTACAATTTAAAATATTTTAAACAACTATAAAAATTTTAACTTATTACTTTGTCAAATTTGTTAAATTCTTCACTTCTTTTTAATTCACTTTTCTTTTTAGAGTATACTCAAAATGTAAACAAATTTGAGCTTAAGAATATGATTGGAGTATGATTAACTTTAGAAAGAGATTTGTCAAAATAGGAGAAGATATAATTAATGATGGGGGCGTGTTGCAATTATTTTGACGCGTTTGTTACAGGATAATCACATGTGTAATAATACAATTTTTTAAAAGTCACATCAGATGATCTTATGAAAAGAGCTGCATATGTGAACTTTTAAATAATAATAACGATCATTTCCAAATTTTATGTTGATCATTTTTAAAACAAAATTTTAGATTTTTTGACATATTATACGAATAAATGAGAACGACTATAAAAATTTAACCAAATAAAGTTCATATATCATAATAATATGAATCAAAAATTTCATTTTTTGGTTAGTGAAATCCTGTAAGATATTATTAATTAATAGCTTATCTTCTATATCTTTTAAGATACTAATTATAGAGATATAAATAAAAATTATATTTGTTTTACTGAAAGCTTTCTGTCAAGTTACATTTAATTAAATTGAATTATAGCATGTCAACATAATTAAAAATGTAAAATTTACTATATTAATACTATTTTTAATTTAAACAAGGTATATTTATTTATAATATTTAATATAAATAAGTTCAAACAAATAAAATATATATATTATATAATTATTATATAAAATTTATTTTATACTAGATAATAACTATAATCTTACTTGTATATTATCTTCAATAATTGTAATTAATATATTGTAAATCATTTTAATTAGGTATTTTACAAAATCAGATTAGATCAGATTTTATCTAAATCTGATTTGATCTGATTTTATTTTTTAGAATTTAAATTTGATTTAAATCTGATAGATTTGTTAAAATCCAGATCTGATTTGAATTTGATAAAATTAAATCTAAAATCTGAATTTAATAGATTAGTTAAATCCAAATCTAATCTAATCTAGATCTAAAAAGATTGATTAAAAAAATAATTTTTTAATTCTAAATAAGATCTAAAAATATTAGCTCTAAAAAAGTTTCAAAAATTCATTATTTTTAATAAAAGGATCTCAGCTTAATAGATCTACTTTTATAACTGATTCTAATATAATATTAAAATACTAATAATTAGAAACTATATTTAAAATAAATCTTCACCTATTTTTATAAATTACTTATTAATAATTAATTACTTAACCTAATATTACTAATAATCTTATTTTAATAAACATTTATAATTTATATAAAAAAATAAATATCTTCATAATAAAAAAGAATTATTTTTTCTTTTATATTTTATAAATAAAAAAAATAATATACAATTTTATTTTATTATTTGTCTATTAATATTTATAAAATATTTATTTATATTACTGATTACTAATATATATTATTATTTTAAAACAAATCATAAGATTCTTTATAATTAAATTAAATAACAAAATATAATAAGTAAAACTACTAGACTATTATAATATTATATTATCTTATTTTTTATATACTTATCAAAGATATTAGAAAAAAAGTACTGGCTAGTTTATTAAAATAAATATTAGTATTATAATTTTAATAAGATGTTAAAAATATGGATTTAAATTAATACTTACTTCTTAAATTATAATAATAAAAATTTACATATTGGACTTTGTCTTTTCATATATATGAATAAATTATATTAATAATGATCAGTTCAATTAAAGTTTTACTATACATTTTTTCATAAAGATACCTGTAATTGTGTGATCTATATAATCTTTAAATAATATTCTACTTTTATAGGATTAGAACTAGTTAAACCAAATAACTGAATAAATTAACTGATTAATTTATTATTGATTATTCAAATTAAAAATATATCTCTTCACTAAAATCCTATTCTTTAATTATTTTTTGCATTAATGAATCATTAACAATTAAATTTTGTAAAGACATATCAAAAAAGTTAAAAAGATAAGAAAACTTTAAAAAAAACATCATTTAATAATAAAATCTTCATTTATTTATTAGAAATTTTTTTCTTTTTAATTTTTAATCTTTAAATTTTAAACATTTTTTTAATATTATAAGTATCGAAACCTATGATTTACAAATGTATGACATTTTATGAATTCAATAGCAACTATACCTTTCTAAACTGTTTCTACTACTTGTATTCAAAAGGATTTGTTTTACAAATTAATTTTTATCTATCTAATAATCTTTTTTTCAATAAGTTAAGTTATTCTAAGACATTTGATTATTCCAAAATATCATATTTTCATTATCTTCTATTTTTATTATTTCAGCATCATCATATTCCTAAATTCTTTATTTTCTGATTTATCTTTAAGATTTTATTATATAGTTATATTATTTTTCAAATCATTTATTTCAGTTCAGTGGAATTTCCCTTTAATTATTCTTTTTTTATCTTCATTTTCTGTTATTCTTCATATATTTTACTTATTATTTTCAATTTATCTTCATATTGTATTTATCATTTTTCTCTTTCTTCATCTTCCATATATTTATTATTATTAGACCTTCTATTTAATTATTTTATTGTTATCTATAGAATCCAAATCTTTCAGAGTTTCCATTTTCTTATTTTCATAATTCTTCAATATCAGTAACGTTATGTTTTCCTTAGAGTTAGCTATTATTATCTTTAATTCTATTTATTCTTCTTATTCTATTTATTATATTTTAGATTATCATCATTTTCTTTTTTCCATTTCTTTTATCTTTTGAATTAATTGCTATTTTCTTCTTTCATCAGATCTTCTATTCAATTATTTTATCATCATATATTTCTTAACTTTCTGTAATAAAATATTAGTTAAACATGTATTTCAACATAGTTGTTAGCCAATTTATATTCAAGTAATCATTCAATATACTTTTGTATTCACTATTAAATACAAATGTTCATTTATATTAAAGAAACAAATATTTATAATTTCATTATTAAAGTATTAGAAATAAAAGATCTACATTTTATATAGAGAATTCTATTTTATTTAAATAAAATTAATGTAAATCACTTTTGATTTCCTATTTCTGCAAATCTTAAATTTCTTAATTATTTATATATTTTCTGTAGTTTCTTACTTTTCCATCTAATATTTCTGTAATTTCTTAAATTTCCTTTCTTCTTATAATGTCATTTATGATATCATATTTCCTTTTTAAGATTTCTTTTGTTTTTTTTATTTGAAAGTTGTCTAACATTCGATAAATAATCTTATTCTTTTTTCTTCAATAAATAATTTATCCTTTAACTAATAGTTTATTCGTATTTTGTATTTTAGTTTTTAGTTAAATTTTTATCCATTAATATTTTATTTAGTCAAATGTTTCTTTTAATTTTCTATTAAATATCACATAATATTAGTTCTATGAATTTTTGACTTTATAATATACATATTATTTATAATTATAACTTATTTTTAATTAAATATTTTAATATACTACTTTTTTCACTTTTTTAACACATTTTAATTTTTTTTTATTATTATTATTCATAATATAAGAATGTTATTTAAGGGATATTTGATCTAATAGAAAATTAAATACTCTAGTTCTTCTAATATTTAACTAATTGTGTTATCACTGATATCAATTCTTTTGAGCATTATAAAGTTACTTGCAAGATTTAAATTAATTTATTTCTTTTTATCAAGTTCACAATTCAAAACTAAATCATTTGCAGTAGTTTGATTATAAAATAACAGTTCTTCTATTCATTATTAAATCACATTTAGTTATTAAATGATAGATATCTCTAGTATACATGTAAAATAAATATGCTATTTCTGCAATCTATAACATTTAACTCTACTTTATTTTGGGTCTATTAATCTTGAGTAATTATATTATAAATCATAAGGTTTACTCAAACTTCTAGTATTTAGTAAGAATGGAACTTTTTTGATGCTTTCTAAATTAAAATTTTTAATAAAAGATCAACTAATACAGCATTTTAATTATGTATTTTAAGCTTATTATATAATTTCTTAAACTTATTAATACACTTAAACTTATCACAAAAATAAATTTTAGAATTTTTGTTTGATATTAGTAAACTGAAAGTGTCAATAAATAATCATATGAAGCTAATTTTGAAGCATCTCTGAAAATATATTAATCAAATAAGAAATAGAATAATTATATTTTGTATTTTATAATAATTTTAGTTTATTTAAATCTCTATCTATAATCATTTTCTTAAAAACTATTAAGTTATTCTTAATCTTAAATTTAATGTAATGTTAATATTCTCACAATAGTAAAAATTGTTAAATTAATTAATGTATAATTTTTTCAACAGGATAGATATCATTATATACAAAATAAAAAGGAATAAGTTCTTTCAATTATATATTGTGAATAGCTTTAGAATAGAATAAATCATAATTTTGTAATATAATAATCAATGAATAATCTATTAGTTCTATTAGAACTTTAGCAATAAAGTTTTGTAGAAAATAAGCTAGAATATAATTATATAAACTGATCAATTAGTTATTTTAAATCAGACATTTCATTTTTTTGATTAGTATCATATTAATATTTAAATCTTTAAGTTCTATTAAAATAAACTGATAAATTAGTGATATCATATAATAAAATAAAATATACATTTTGTCTTTAAAGCCTATTATCATATTTTTATGTAATACAGTAATATCACATAATCAATAACATTATGCATGTTAATTTAACTAAAAAGCTTTAGAATCTTATTAAGTATCAATAGCTAATTATTCAATGATTATTTCATCTTTTATTTTAAATCTACTTTTCTTTTCTTAAATAATCTTATTCAATTCTTGATAATTAATTTACAAAGTAGACTATTTGAAATACAATTTCAAATATGTG